TATTTAACAGCAATTGGTCGTGGTTATGCTACTCTATGAATCAATGCACGATGGTTTTTATGTACCTTTGAGCCAGTGGCATACCCCTAAGTCCTGACGTATATAATTTGTGTAATAAAAAACTGAAGAAAAGTTAATCAAATGAAATAATTTAAGAGTGAATGAACAATACGCAAATGTTGGGAGCTGGCTTGTGAAAAGTGTTGATAACTCATCGAGACTGTCCCTCAATTTTAAGACTTGAGGTGTGCTATATTTTTAACGTTTTTCAAAGGTTCTCGTGTATACTTGTCACAGGCAAGGAGATATTGCCTTAAATCTAATGAGGTATTGGTGAGATATTGTAGTAAACAAATATTTCTATATTAATAACCACTAATCGGAAAATTGCACTTATAGTAATCAAATTTAATTTCTACCGAAATAAATGAAAAATAGAACAACATACAATAAAAAAAGGAACAACCACCTAACAGTGAAACGATTTGCCTAAGTGGCTGATCAATGTTTTATTTTTTTTTTTTTTTAGTGGTGAATTTATTTATTAATGTATGATCTAAAAGATGTAGGTTTTGTGATGAGAGGATGTGTTTGAGAAATAGAATTAAGGCTGTATTTATCCGCAAAATGCTTTGCTAAGGCTTTTTTTTACTATTGCAAATTTTTATGGATCTTTTGTGTTCAGTGAACTTTACTTATCTACCTGTTTCTCTTTGAAATAGGTAGCTCCAAATGTTGCACAAGTAAGCATGTAAACAACATTTTTCATGTTACAACAGTAACAATTCCACAGCCTTTGACAGAGAAGTTTCATTTTCTGCAAGGACTAACGTGTACAAATGCTAAATAATTTACCATTTCTTTGTATTTTCTTGATTGACAATCCTGAATGACGATTGGCTGTTGTAAGACGGTTGACAACAGAATCAGAAATGCACAGGATATAATAAGTAAGTGTATTTTGTTTCATCATTTTCACAATAGTTCCATATCAAAAAAGCATTTGCTCAGGTGAGAGCTTCAGCTTTTGTCGATACGAGAAGGTTTATCAACGTTACTTGTTAGTGTATAATGGAAAAATAATATGTGACGACGAGTTGGTGTTGGAATGTGAAGTGTTCATATCAGTATGGGGAAAATATAGTTTATTGTTATTAAGGACAACTTTATTCAACCAATACTATTACACCTCTTATCATCCACAGTACGTCAGTAAAGAAGTTACATTATAAGTCAGTTGATATATTAGGTTCATCAGATACAAAGCGCAGAGAAAGTGACATAAGAAACAGACGATGTTGAAGCCGTAATGAAGAGTAAAAGTCGTTTTTTTTTTTTGTAACACTATTTCCAGCTTAGAAACAATTGTTTAGTACTTCACAACAATGCATCACAGACTCACAACAATTCACATTAAAGTTAGAAAAAAAAATGACCTATACACTCCAGATAATTATAAGAGAGCTTTTATTTTAACCGCAAAAGCGAAACGTCGGCTTAAATAAAAGTTCTCTTATAATTATTTGGAGTGTAAAGTCGTTTTTCCTTAACGTTATTATCAAAACGTGTAAAAAATTACACCAGTATGCATTACAAATTCTGAAAGACAATTCACAAATATAATGTTACGTCTCCGTTTGTTAATTAACTTTCCGTAACTTCGTTCCAACGAAACATTAGCGACACAAGTCCTTACTT